CCCAATTTACCTACGTAAATCTTGTGTTGTTGTAGTGTGTTTTTTTTATGTTTGTTTTATTTTTCACACTCGATTTATAATTGTATTCATCTACTTCGCATTTGATCAATTGAGTACACAATCTTGGGTGGAATCCTAGTATTTAGGATTTCTTGTTCCACAAGATAAGGGGTTCTCGAGAACCCTACACTAGGAAATGAGTATTTAATATCCCTATCCCTATATTTTGATGGAATTTCAAAATGTTCATCAAAATACCATAATCATAATTTAGAATGATTGAGAATGGCTAAAATGTTAAATACTTGATAAATGTGTTTTGATATATTTCCTTTGCTTCGTAGAGGCAAAAATGACTTCATCGGATTTGACTTTTAAACTAGTACAAAATCATATTTAAAAGAAAATGATGCAAACGCAGATTTCGCAACAAAAGACGCAATTGTTGAAATTTGATTTTGCTCAAATACAATTAACCTCATCTAATCGATCTAAACTTTTTGTCAATTTTCTCAAGCGGTTCTTTCAAAATAAAGAAACGGCCGATTTTCTTGAAAATGGCGATTTTTTCTTCTTGATTAAGAATCAGATTTTCCAAAAATCCAATTTAGTAAAAAACCGATTTCAAGATTAACAAATTCATAATTGGATTTCAAAATAGAAAAATAAAAAATTTATTCAAAATAAAAAATGGGCGTTGAAAAATGGGAAAAACCCCAAAACTTCATGTTGTAAGTACATAAAAATGGTTGTTGAATCTATGTGGCCATTAAAGGCCGTACCAAAACTTGTATAAACATTTCATATAGTAAAACATAAATTCAATTGGAATGTGGTGATCATACTAGACAAATGTTATTTAGTGATATTCAGACTTGGCTCGATGGGCATAGAGATAAACCGATGAGAGTTCAGTGAGTCATCCCCTGATAAGGTTGGAGTTACTCAGATGAATGAGTAGAGAGACTGTGTGACCCTTGTGTTAAATGGTTACGCTTTAGAGATTGGGTCAAAGCCTTATCTCTGAACATTACACAGCATGTACCCGTAGCAAGAAAGCAATCAACCTTTAAAGGTGAAACATGTACATGTGCGAGAGATTACCCCTATACACCATAGAGCCGTAGTTGCACCATGGTATTGGGGACCATGAATTGGTCTTTAAGGGAGAACATGTATTCCATAGATTGGGATTGCGTCCCTAGTCTATTGACTGACTTTAATGACCCAATCATGAACCTCTGCAGTGGACTATGGGCCATGGGAATCGCTGCGTCAGTTCGAGAAAGCTAGTGGCCCAATCATGAACCTCTACAATGGACTGTGGGTTATGGGAACCGTTGCGTCAGTTTGAGAAAGCTAGTGTGGATCGTAGTTCACAGTTGCAGATGTGGAGTTCTCTAGTATATTCATAATTTTTAGACTTATACATATCCAATTCCCCTAAAAATTAATTAATTTTATGTTATGTAATTTTTAGAATGATTATTTAAATTTTTATGGTTCTCTTGATATTTTATTTTTATCATTTGGATTTATAATATAAGAGAAAATTAATTTTCAGTGTTTTAAAATAATCAAAGAGAAATAAACTCTATTTTTAAAATTATAAAAATCACTTTTATACTTTTAAAATATTTACTAAAATTTGTGGACCCACGCAAGGTGTGGGACCATTAAATTAACACATCACAAAATTGGGTGGGCCCACTTGGAGCCACCTAGGGTGGCACGCCCCACCCCTAGGAGGTCGGCACTTACCATATTGAGGATTGAAACCTCCTTGCAAGTTAGCTTTCCATATTAATGCAAAATCTCCTTGTATGATGAATCAAGATAATAATATTTAGTATGTCATGTGAATTAAGATATTTTGATTGTTCAAAGATTGAATGAATAAGGAATGAATATCCATAAAAAGCGAATGTATAAGTATTTTTTTTTTATTTGAATATTTGAGAAAAATAGGTTTAGAAAATAGATGATAAGATTCTAGCACTTTCTTTTGAATCTTGATAATGAATCTAAAGAATGAATTACTCACATATCTCAAATCCCCTTAGATCAATAGTCTAGATTTGATCTCACTATAGATTGAAACTTGATAGTGGATCTAAAAAATGGATGACTCACATCTTTCACCCAACACGTCTCATTAGTTCAATGGTCTAGAGATCTCACTAAAGATGACACTCTTAAAGATTAGAAAAACTATAAATAGAGGTTCCCTCTCTCATAAATCTCTACACATTTCATTTTCCCTCTTCTCACTCCAAAGGCTCTCTCTGCTTTTTCTCTCTCTAAAATGCACACCCCACTTAGGTCTCTCTCTAAGGGCCTCTTCTCTCTTCTCTCTCTAAAGGCTCTCTCTGCTCTCTTTTTCTCTTTATGGGGCACACCCTACTTAGGCATCTCTCTCTAAGGGGCCACGCCCCTAAAGGAAAATCTCTCTCTCTCTCTCTCTTTTGCTAAGACTCTCTCATAAAAGGTAGAAGGGGGTACGCCCCACCTAAGAGCTCTCTCTCTCTCATCTCTCTAGGTTAAGCAAAGGGGCGGCTTAAGGTAGGTCAAGGCATTGAGGCTTTAGCACTTTTGAAGGGTTTTGTCATACTTAGTAGATTTGAGAACGATCATCAATCCCAAGTACTATTGGAAGAGGAGATTTTTCGAGAACGATCATTGATCTCAAGCACTATGAGAGGAGAAGATTTTTTGAGAATGATCATTGATCCCAAGAACTATTGGAAGAAAGATTCGGTGTGAAGTGTAGTAAGCCAGGTTGAGGTAATCTCTAGCAATTTACTTGTTTTATTTTATTTTTTTATTGTGCTATTCTATTCTAATAAAGCAATGTGTCAAGTTTATTTATTTAATATAGAAGTTGTTTTTAGCAGTAATAAGTGAGAACCGTTTTTATTTATTTATTTGAAGAGAGCTTTTATTTATAATCAGACATTGAAAGCAACATAATCGGTGGAAAAAAAGAAAATTTTAAATTTATATACATTGTGCTTTATTACATAGTCCAACTTTCAATGGTGTTAAACAATTTTAAGATAAATTTCAAAGAAAAAAATGGGGAGAAATGAGGAAGAAAATGAAAAAAAGGTAGATTTAGCCAAAAATAATCATCTCATTAGTTTTCAAAAGGTGCTGCAGAGAATTACCTTATTCAAGCAATCTTCGGATCTTTGATGGAATTGCCTAGTTCCATCTAAGGTCGAGTCCATATGAGTAAGGCCGAGTCCCAATTCCATAAAGGAACCACATTGATCCCTCACTAAATCTGATCCAAATTGGCCTTTATTTTTTTTTCTAGATAAATCATTGTGGCCCTTTTTATTTATTTTTGGGATAAATCAAGGGGAGAAGAAGGCCCCTATCCATTTTTATTAATAAAAATAAATAAAATATAGATCATATCTTTACAACCCTACAATAAGGTACAACCCTACAATAAGGTACTTATGCCAAATCATGAAGTAAAGAAAGAAATAAAATCCTTCAGTCTAAAACGTCAAACGGTAGCATCAACCCTAAAATAACGTACTTGTGCCAAATCATTAAGTAAAGAAACTGAAATAAAATGTAACGGTCTAGAATGCCAACTTGTGACATCAATGATGTGACCTTCTTAACAAATGTATCCGCTACCGTATTGGCCTCACAATAGATGGGGGAAATTAACTATATTGGCAACCAGCTGCTACCATATGGACAGATTGGCCAATTTCGATCCAAGTAAAACCCTACTAAAGATTATATAAAAAGAAAGGATAAATAACGATGTCATGTGGAGGTTTAAGTAAGCCACCACTTATTTGTCAATAGACTCAAAACCCATGATTAAAAACCAGGAATCAGGTCCGACTTGGTGCCCTACAAAATCCGATTCAAATCACCAATTCTGATCCCGATCACCCAATTTGGAGCAGAAGGATCTTTTTTTACCAGAACTTAGAAAAGTAGGAAAGTACGGGTGATTTCAATATTCTTCGAATCAGAATTGTCTGATGCCCCAATCACGATTTGGGGCAAGCGATTCCGGATAAAAGATTTTTCAAACAATGGTGAAAACATTAAACCATTTAGCATAGACGGGTTGAAAAAAAATGTTTAGGAATAGAAACTTGGTCGGACCCCACAGGATTATGTCTAGGTCGGATATATATCCAAGATCCTAACTTAGATTGATGTGATAGGTCATGGCTGGAGCAAAGCCCCATTTTGGCCGAGTCCTAATTGAGTGACCTAACCCACTAGGTCCACTTTCTGGGTCAAGTCTCGACCCAGCGCTTTCGGTACCCTAACTGTCCTTGTATTGCGGCAATAGCTCAACACGCGAGAGAGAGAGAGAGAGAGAGAGAGAGAGAGAGAGAGAGAGAGAGAGAGAAGAGAGGCGCGACGAGAGACGAGAGGAAGAGAGTGTGACGTACGACGTAACGTTAACCGTTACGTTACGTAACTACACGCGTACACGACTACGAACGACAAGTAGAAGACGTACGTAACCCT